ACTCGAAAAGAGAAGAGAGCTTCTCCCAGAGTCCTGGCCAACAATCCCCCAAGTAAAATTGGTCATTTACTTCATGGCTGTTTCGAGGGATATTGCTATGCTCAAAGTGGCTGCTGTACAAATATAGTCACTACATTCACAGTAAAATCCTCTGAAGTGCCTTGAGACGACGCGACGATGTGATAAGGCGTTGTATCAAACACTAGGAAAGCAAACACAATGATTCATATATAGTGTTCTACAATTGCAAATTGCACGCATGGAGTACATTTCATCAAATATACAGTCAATTCACTTTAGAGCATATTCTGTGAAGCGCTTTGAGACGTCTCGAAGATGTGAAAAGCACTATATCAAATGCAAGGATTATTATTATATTTATGTATTGAATATATTGTCTATTTTCTCCTATCACCCAAAGCATGAAGTAAGGTGTATTAAGAATTCTGCCAAATACCTGGAGAACATACACAAGACAAACGCAATTTTTTCCCTCCGCGCCCTCAATTCTTTTACATGATGGGATATTTTTTACTTGACTTGTGTGTAATTTGTGTGGGTCAGTCAGAATTTAAATATGTAATCCAAATGTTAAAAGTTATCATTTGAGTCACTTGGTTTCATCACAATTTGTCATTATTTATTCAAGGTGAATGTGAATATTCTGCTAAGAAATTCATATCTTGTTTACTTGTGATACTCCACTGTGATAATTGATTACATGAACTCTGCAGTTCTACAAGTAAATTGCAAATTGCACGCATGGAGTACATTTCATCCATTTTCATTAAGATTCAAGAACAGAGTTTTATTCTTCAATATGAACTGTCAGTTGACCACTCTAATAATACACGACTGTTTGTGGGACCATCCTGTGTGCAATTGGCTGCCGCGTTTCGTCCACAAGATAGTCAATTCACTTCAAATATATTCTGTGAAGTGCTTTGAGACATCTCAGAGATATAAGGTGCTATATCAAATGCAAGGATTATTATTATTACTCTAGTGTAAATCTTGTAGATTACAAAGCAAACAAACATCTGCGATTAAAAGCTGTACAGAAAAAAGAATCAGTGGTCATACATGCACTCATGAGGGAAAGTTTCTGACTGTTGACCATTTCAATGCTCACCAAAGGAGAATAGAAAATGTATACTTTAGAATATAAAAGATGATTGAGAGTGGACTCAATGGAGTACTGTATTCTTTGGATTGAAACGTTTGCAAACTCCTTGAACTTGATTTAACTTATGACATCAACCAAAGACTTGAGTGTTTCATAGCTCTCCAACTCATTTCCAGTTATCTTTTATGCTCTAAACTAAAGGCTTCACTGTAATATCCGTGGAATAAACCATTTCCTGGTCAATAAAATGGTTTGTAATCTGGCATTCTTGATCGATCCAATGATATGTACGAAACATGCGTCTTGAAACAAACAGCTAGTTACTTTACAGTCCAATACCATTTATATTTACAGGAGATTTCAATTTAAATAGTACAAGCAATATTTTTAAATTCATCTCCATAGATGGATGACAAACAATTACAATCAAGAAACAAAACTTCTCGATGAATCAAATTCAAGATTGTCAAACTGACTTTTATGCTCATAAATTATGCTTACCCTACCATCTGCAATTTCCTCCAACTCCATTCTGGTCCTTCAACATCAGAGACAAGTCACTATAATCCTACTTTGGGAATTTATTTTAAACGCACATGTTCTTGCATCTTTTATCCATTCCTTCAAAAACCCATCTCTTTGACTGTGACTTTGGTCATCATCCTTAAAATCCAACTTCTTTCCACTCTGTTCAGTGATCCACATCATCTTTGTAAACTGCTTTTGAGTTGTTACCCCGCAAGAAAGTAACTTTACAAGTGCAAACTAAATATGTACATCAAGAACCTATAATGGTTAACGAAGCACTCACCCACAATATATTTTTGCTGAACTGCCACTGGACTAGAGGGAGACACTAGTCATCTTTTTGATACAAAAATAGCATTTGATAAAGTGCCTTAACACATCGTTGAGGTATCTCAAAGCGCTTCACAGGATATTATTGTAAAGTGTAATGACTGTATTTGTATGCAAAATTTCAACTTGCTATTAGTATCAAACAACAGTAAATATGTAGTACACAACTTGCGTAAATAAAAAATTAAGTGCAAGTAATATTCAAAAAGGTGACTGAACTATTTGTATAAATTCTACTGCCCATAAAAGAATCAGAGGACTAGATCAATGTTGCAGCATTTATCTTATTTGTTTATGCTTTGTATTCACTACAGTATCACTGTAGTTCATTGAAACTCAAGATGAGCACGATAAGCCCTTCAAGGTCAAGCACCAAAATTTATTCTACAGTAAATAATGACTGCAAATGTTAGCCATGGATTTGGAATTAAAGGTTTAACAATGGGTTAAAAATATAGGCAAAAAGGACAGTCAATGATGCCCTATGTAGTTAGTCAAGAATGTGAAAAAGACAAAATGTTTCTTGGTCAACGATCAACGATTTTATAGGTGTGAAGAGTTCAAACCCTGGAGATACTTAATATACAAACACAAGTTTTCAATTGTGGATTTCTGTGTTTGAGATCTGAGTGATGATCTGTGTTTGTATCAAGCTCTGGCTGGTTTTGATATAATTGTCAAACAGATGTACAGGACAACCCTATTATAACACAACCATGTCAGTCCAATCTCTCCATCCTGCACTATTACAAAGTATGGAAAAATGGCCAACCTTCGAATCGTTAGACCATCATTGACATCACTTTAGTGTATCCTGCGAAATGTTTTGAGACATCTCCATCATGTGATAAGGCACTATATCAAATGCAAGGATTATTATTATTGCATGCATGAATGCCAGCATCCCATGCTAAAAATTGTCCAATTTCCAGGTTGTCAGGCTGCCATTACTTTTTTCAATGTTATGCCTGCGCTTCCTCCGCATTTAAGGGCTTTGAGATGTCCTCCTGTTGCGAAAAGCTCCATATAAATGTAAATTGTATTGTAACCCAACATTGTGTAGAAAGTGATATTAGCGGCATTTCCTGCACATAGCGAAGCCAATAGCAATCTGACAACTCAACCTTTCCCCCCCACACATGGAAAGTCAACCAGGCTGTGCTGGAAACAAATCATGGATCTAAAGCCTTAAAATCGTAGCCGCCGTTCGGGGCGTATTATAATAATATGGCCATGCAATACCTAGGCTTGCGGATTTTATAAAATAAGCATGTGTCTGCCAATAGAAGTTGTCAGGGAAACTCTATGTTAACGATGATACTTGTGAAGTCATAGGAAAACCAATGTAATACCTCTTAGAGGTGTTGATTTGGATTCTTGCGGGGTTAAAAGCTGGAAAGTCTCAAATAGCTCTCAGAAAGCATGATGTTCTCAACCTCAGAATACTTTCTAAAACCTGCTGGACTGACAGTGATCATTAAACTGAGGTCCTATTTTCAGGTAGAGTTTAAAGATCGTATGACATTATCCAAAATGAAAAAGCAGTTTCTCCTGGCCAACAAACAATCCTCCACATTCATTGGTCGTTCACTTTATGGCTTTTTGTGGGATCTTACTGGTGTGAACAGCTACAAAAACAGTCACTACACTTGATGGTGATTATTTTATACATTTTGGCACAAAATATCTCAAAATGCTTCACAGGATTTACACTTGCATAGGATAGTGTGTAGTGGCTGTGTATTTGTAGGTACACCAGACAGTAGATACATCTGTACATAAGAATAAGATTACAGATGCCGAGATGTGTTGCTACCCACCCGGAAGCTCGTAGTGAGTTCCTGGTACCTACCAATCACCTAATGAGGGCTCACATCCAGGCTTGTCGCATGTCGATCTCATGACTATCTATCTCTGGAATTTCCATGTGTAGGTGGGAATCCATGGAATTCTCAGTTTGGAATTCTTAAGCATGGTGATGGGTTTCTGCATGTGTCAAGACACCTGGCTGACCCCCAAAAATTAGATTATGGTAAATAATTAGCTGGAATTCAATCAAAACTCCTTAGCTCGTGTTAATGCAAACAATATGTTAAGTAATGCACTGGATTCTGCAATGAGTACGTCCTTGCTACTTTTTCCATTGTTAACAAGAAAGGGAGGTTAACTTTCCAAGAATAATCTGGGTTATTTGAGCAGAACACTACGGATCATAAGTACAGCCAAACCTGTTTTCAGCAGCCACTCAGGGGAATAGACCAAAGTGGCCTTTATGTAAGGATGCCCTCTGAGAAAGGGTTTGTTGGTGTGTGTAGAATTTCTGAGTGTATAGAAAAATACAGTGCACATTCAAACCCATAAATTAAACATGTGGTTTTAATAAATAACATGAATTTACTGCACTAATTAACTGATGCCAACTTCAAATACATAATAATATTACAAAGAAGGATATCCTGGCTAACTTTACACAAACAAAAGCATCTCTGCAAAATCGTTCCTCCATTTCTGACAGTCCACTTTTTCTCATTTGCAATTCTCTTGAACCACACTAAATCCTTCCCCACCTGGGCGTCTAGCAGGAATATACACTTGGGCCCACGGAAATTGATAATGCAGTACGGTAAGTAACGTAAATTAACTTAGAACTGGCCAATAAAAAGGGTGGTCTGTCTATCAACAGGGCTAAAATAAAGTGGCCATTGGTTGTGTTAGATAGGTGGTTGCTGAAGAGAGGTGGTTTATCATGGGAAATTGGTCCGGATTTTCCACGGTGATTGTTGACATCGGGTGGTTGCTGAAGAGAGGTTGTTGTTTTAACAGGTTTGACTGTATATTTAATAATGAGGAAAACATATTTCAAGAGCATTCAGTTCCTCACATCTGCAGCACTGGATACAGACAGTTCAGCCAACACAAGGAGGAAATTCCTCAACACTCCCACAGTCCTGCAATTTTCGTGCTTGATCCAACAGCGTTAGCAACCAAATGAGAAAAATAAATGTTGGCATCTTACCTCATATCCTCCAGTAAGTCACATTCCCCCTGATGCTTCGTCTGAAGTTTAGTCATTTGCTCAGCATGGATGTTTTTCAGTTCTTGAGTAATTTTTACCTGGAAATAAAACAAAACAATGCCACCAAGACCTGCATTTTGTTTTTACATAAGAAGATAACCAGATCAAACAACTATTCCTAAGGCACAGACAAACACATTTTACATTGGATAGTTCTGAGTGGAAACATAAACTTACACCAGGAGGTACAGTATTGACCTTACAATTACTGTATAACCAAATGTACATTTTTAAACCAACCCCCTGGGCGAAAAAGACACTCATTTTTGTAAAAGGAAATATAAGGAGTTCTCGAAGTACGTCAACAAACATGAAATATTTCATCGGGAGCTGCATTTGAAGGTCATTGGAACAATCTCAAGGGATTCTGCATCTTATGAGGATTTAAAAAGTCAACTTTTTTTTTAAAAAAAGAAGGGTCTGCAATCTTCCCACCTTCCATAACACACCTTCCTTAACATCCAGAGGTTTCCATTATTTCAGTCCACATACATTTTGACTGTTAGTTCTGCTACACTCGAATGGAGAGAGAGGAGGGGGGGAGGAGAGGAGATGAGAACATTTCACGTAAAATCAGTGAATGCGTTTCAGAATAAAGAGTAAAACTTTTTTTAAAAAAATACAGTCACACCACCATCTCTCTCTCTCTCTCTCTCTCTCGGTAGCAAAACGTCTCAGGGGTCGACGAGGGTTTGCAAACAGATTTCAGTCCTGAAATCTCCAGATTTACCTTCCAACCCCCCACACCCCCCAACCCCCCCCCCCCCCCCACACCCTCAACCCCCACACCAGACACACACACGGTACGACTTACAGCAGATTTACCGACAGAAACCAATCGCTCTCCACAAAGCAAACAGACCACAACCCCCCCCCCCCCACAAAAAAAAATCTTTAGCAGCAGCAGGAGAGAGAGAAAAATAACACTGCTTGATGTTTGCATTTCATATCTAAGCACTGGGGGGAGTGTCCCCCTCACACACACACACACACAACCTTAACCCCCCCCCCCCACCCCCCACACCCCCCCTCTCTCTCTCTCTCTCTCTCTCCCTCCTCCCCCCACTCTTTCCTTCACTGGTTCGACATTTCTTCACAGCAGCCAAATCAAAACAAGACACAGACAGACAGACAGACAGACAAGAGACCCAACACTGGCACAGTCTTCTCTTGACCCTCTTCCTCTCTTTCTTCCCCCCCTCCCACCCACCCACCCCCACCTTCCCCTCTTTCCTCCCCACCTTCTTCTCTCCCCACCCCCCCACCATCACCATGTGTGCCCCTCTTTTTATCTTTGCCACTCACCTTTCTCGGAGGAGGCTGCATGTCGAAAATCCGACGGGAATCATAAATCCGGACGTGTGTGTGTGTGTGTGTAGAGGAGAGAGGGAGGGAGGGAGGGAGAGGAGGAGGAAGGGAGGGAGGAGGGGGGGGGGACTAAATGGAGGACGGGAGAGAGAGAGAGGAGGGAAGGTAGGAGGGAGAGAGGGAGGGAGGGAGGGAGAGAGGGAGCTTCTGAAGCGAAGTGATGGTGGTGGTGGGGGGGGGAGAGAGGAGAGAGAGAGAGGGAGGGAGTGGGGGAAAAGAGAGAGAGAGAAAGAGAGGTCGTTGAGAGATGGGATGAGAGGGACAGGGAGGGAGGGAGGGAGGGAAGGAGGCAGGGAGAGAGAGAGAGAGAGAGATGGGGGCAGCCCCGGGAGAGGAGAGGAGGGAGAGGGGGAGAGAGGGAGGGAGTGGGGGAAAAGAGAGAGAGAGAGAGGTCGTTGAGAGATGGGATGAGAGGGACAGGGAGGGAGGGAGAGAGAGAGAGATGGGGGCAGCCCCGGGAGAGGAGGGAGAGGGGGAGAGAGGGAGGGAGACGCCGCGTTTGTTTTTGTTGTCGAGAGAGACGGTTGGAGGTGACAGAGAGAGAGAGAGAGGAGAGAGAGAGTGAGAAAGAGACACAGAGAGGAGAGGAGAGAGAGAGAGAGAGGAGCTGAGGGAAGGAGGGAGGGAAGGAAGGAGGGAGGGAGGGAGGGGAGAGATTTTTTTTGTGAGTGTTTTTCTGACTCGGCTTCACTCCGGCACCGCCATGATATCTCCTCCGCTTCACCGCCGACGCTCTCCCCCTCTCTCTCTCTCTCTCTCTCACGAAAGCCGAGCGACCGTAACCCCCTCTCTCTCTCTCTCCTCTTTCTCTCTTATCTTTCTCTCTCTCTCTCTCTCTCTGTGAAAAAAAATATACCCTCTCTCTGACAAACCAAAAGAAAAAAAAACACACACACGCCGCCGCCACCACCACCGCCGCCGCCGCCGCCTCCCACCACCCGCTGGTTGATAACGAGCGCAACAGCGGCTCACACTGGCCGGGCCGGGCCTAGTCCTGCCCTTCACAGCGGCCTCCACATTTAGCCACAGGGAGAGAGAGAGAGGGAGGGAGGGAGGGAAGGAGAGAGGGAGGGAGGGAGGGAGAGGGATAAATAAACAACAAGACTCTCTCTCTCTCTCTCTCTCGGTCTCTCTCTCTCACACCCTCACGGAGCCGCCCCCGCGATACAGAGAGTCACAGCGACACCCGGCGGCGCGGAGGCTGCACTGCGGGAGGTGATGGAGGAGGAGATGGCGGCGAATACCAACCCCCCCCACCCACCCTCCCTCCACCCTCTTTCACACTGCGGTCAGGGAGACGGTGGGTGTCACACACACCCACACACACACACACACACAGAGAGAGAGTGAGTGACCTCCTCATCAACCGCCACCCCCACCCCCCACCCACCCTCCGGACCCGCGCTGTATCAGGGATGGGGGGGGGGTGGGTGTCAGCGAGCGCCCCCCAGCGGCAGCCCCCAGGCCTCACGCCCGGTTCCAGGCCGCGGCGGGCGGTTGCCAGGGGTAACGGGCAGCGATACCCGGGTGGGTGAGCCATCGCGCCTCTGAGGGGGAGGAGGGGGGGAGGGGGGGAGAGGAAGGCGCTGGGGGTCTAAGTGCAAGTTGTTGTTGTTGTTGCTGTTGCTGCGTGGATTCGACGCGCACCACACCCGGAGGGTCGGAGTTCCGAGCGAAGACTTTCCTCTTCCACGGTGCCTCTGGCGATTAATCATCGTCGTCGTGGTCATCGTCGTCATAAGCGCCTCACGGACGCTTACTGCGAAGTGAATTGGCTGCGGACCGCGTGTGGCGCGAAACCCGGCAGCCAATTGCCCACAGCGGCGCTCCCACAAAACAGTCGTGGATCGATTGAGCGACCGAATTATTACTGTCGTCGTCGTCGTCGGCGTTGTTGGGACGTCCTCCCGACGTGAAAGGCGCTCAATAAATGGAATCTTGTTGTTGTTATTTTTAAAAGGGATTCTTACCCCCCCCCCCGGAAAAACGAGACCCGCCAGTCGACTAACGACCGGGTTCCCGCTCACCGCCGGGTAAGCAGAGGGGTGCGGAGTGAGGGAACCTGCCCGACATTTTGCCCATTTGGCGTGGGAATCGAACCCGGGTCTCTCGCTGGGGCGGTGAGCGCTCTAACCACGGAGCTACGGGGCTCCACAATAGCCACCCGGCGGAAAGAGACACAAGCTATGGGCGATTTTAACTGTGAGCGATGTTTCTCAGCGAGTCTTAACGTGTCCGCTCCATCCACTGTCGATGCAGGGACATTTGTAAAGGCCTTTGCAGTTTTGTTCTTCGATTTTGCCTCCATTCGCGGTCCGGCTCCACCTCTACACTTAGTCATAACATTCAAGATTGCTCTGTTGATCACGTTTCGCACTTGGGGACTGGAAGATCCAGAGTTCAAGTTTCAGTGGGGTCCATTCAGGCCTTAAAACGAAGAGGTAAGACATCTTAAAAAGTAAATCTCATTCGGTTCTGGGGAATGAAAGAGTTAAGCGGGGGGTCCACAAAATACACAGTCGATCCATTTTACAATATATTCTGTAAAGCTCTTTGAGGCGTCGCAACGATATGATAAAGCGCTATATCAAACGCAAGGAGCTTTTTGCCCCGCCAGCGGAATGGAACCCTGGTCCTCCCACTTGTGAGGCAAGGGGTCTAACCACTAAGCTACAGGACTCCTTGATACCACCTCCCCTCACCCCGGCTTGGCATAAAGCTCCACCACTGGTTCTGGAAGAGCTGCCCACACCAAGGGCTCTGTGTAAATTGCAAGTTGTTATTGATTAATGTGTGGGAGATCCCACGCCCACATCACCCCCACACCTCTCCTGGGCAACAAAGCTGCTAAAACCTGAGTCGAATGGGTGGGGGGACATGAAGCAGTCTCCGTTCACTGAGCGGGTTGAGTGCCGCTGGGTCAGGAGGGTTACAGGAGGTTGCAGAGGTAGGGTAGGGCAAGGCCGTGGAAAGATATGAATGCAGGATCAAGGATCTTGAATTTGATCTGTTGGGGGACTAAATGTTACAGAATTTGTGAATCGCTTTGAGGTGTTCCCAAAATGATAGTCGCTGCACACATTTATTACAACAATATTGAGCAGGTTAGCCAAGTGCATTCAATAGAAGTGACAATCAACCCTTTTGATTCACAAAATCTGATCTCATAGAATCATATAATTATACAGGACAGAAGGAGGCCATTCGGCCCATTGTGTCTGTGCCGGCTCTTTGAAAAGAGCTATCCAAATCAATCCCACTCCCCCGCGCTCTCCACATAGCCCTGCAAACTTGTCCTCCCCAAATAATTATCTAATTAATAGATCTATTTTGACCTTCATCGTTCCAGGGACACTATGCTACCCCACCACATTGGTGTTTCTTTACAAAGAGACTTATTCAACCTTAAAAGGATTGGGGGTGTGAGGGATTATCACATTGCCATATCAAACAAATACACAGTCACTACACTTCACAGTAAATCCTGAGATGTTGGGATGACGTGATAAGATGCTTTATCAAATGCAAATGCAAAGATTATGAATGCTCTTCAGACTTTCCAAAAGGTGCCACTACCTAGAGATTGGCAGCAGCGTTTTATCACATTGTTTAATATCTCAAAGCGCTTCACAGAGTATATTGTAAAACATGGATAGACTGTATTTTGTGGGCAAAACTCAGCAGCCAATTGTGCACAGCAGTGTCCCACAAACAGTCGTGGATTGAATGACCACTTTTTTTTGTTATTACCCCCGAAATGCGATCTGCCAATCGTCTAATAACCGGGTTCCTACTTACTGCTAGTTAACCAGAGGCATGTGGAGTAAGGAAACTCGCCTAAGGTTTCGCCCTGCCTGGAATCAAAACCGGGTCCTCTAGTGCCAGTAGAGCGTTACATTGAGATATTAACACCAAATTAAGATTGCGTAGAATTGTACAGGGTTTGGTTTTTATTAGAAAGACAGTTTTCATTTTAAAAAGAACTGGCTTCTAAATTAAGACTGAATTTCAGGATGTTTCACAATTCTTAGTTTCGGGCTTCAAATGGTTTAGAATATCACAGTTTTGATCCCAAAGTCTCTCGATCTCCAAAGTTAATCTCGCAAACTCTGCCTTCATTTATCATTACAACCTGCATTGTTCAACCTGTTCAGTTGCATTCCCCAGAGAATATTTTCATTGTTCCAGCACAAGAACTATTGTGTTCTGGAGAATATTTGATATTTGGATTTATCCTTATAACCTTCAATTCTGCTCTGAGAAAAATATTTTTTTAAAACAGTAATCGTCATAGTATTAACTTTTTTTTACAATATATTCTGTGAAGTGCTTTGAGTCGTCTCGAAGATGTGATAAGGTGCTATAACAAATGCAAGGATTATTATTATCAACTGTTTAGTTGGTCTCTTGTTCATTTGTCATTTGTAGGAATAAAATATACTCTCTGATGAGCTGAATGACCTTTCTGATCCTTATTTATCTAAGAAAGTTATAATTCACTACAATTCATCGGAGGGAATATAGAACAGGATGAAAAATAACGGGTATAACAATAATCTGAGGTGCTGATTTCCCATAATAAACCTTGCATTTTATAGCACCTCATCATGTCTTCGAGACGTCTCAAAGCACTTCACAGAATATATTGTAAAGTGAATTGACTGGATATTTTGTGGGCGAAATGGCTTATGGCGTTAGCCTTAATTTAACATTAAAGTTATTGTCTTAAAGTTTTGGATAATTCTTAAATTGTCTTCATTTGAAACCTTAAAAAGAAAATCAGTTTCCAAATTGAGACTTAAATTTAAGAATTTTCCAAAATCTGGGCACTGGTCTTAAGGTTATGATCATGAGAAATGTTGAGTTCCTGACACATACTTTCACAACTCTGATCCAGCTAGTAATAGTTAACTTTGCATTTGGAATTCCGGACACATGAGGCAAGTTCGAGACGACACTACTGGGAGGAAATTCCACAGATGCAAGATGTTGCACATAAAGTTTTGTTGCTGATGTTGAGTGGATGTGTAATTTTCAA